GTATGAAAAGAGCATGTGGTTTCAGGTTAATTTGATTTCTTTCAGACTTTATATTTTCTTGAACACATTGTTCTTCCTTTCTGCGTCCCTCAGGTAAACTGTGGAACTAATTGTTTTCTTTGAACATATCAGAGATATACAAGTATCTATTTTCCAAACTATGCCACTGATGTTTCTGTATGTACAGATCACCACAGTTGCTTGTATTTATTTTGATTAGATCCCTTTGTCAGGTAATTTCACCTATCACACCTTCATTTATCATAAATGTGTGCACGACTACTTGGAAGAGATGTCTCCGGGCCAACTTGCACTCCTCTTTTCTGATTCGTCTAAAAATTCCGTATGTATATCTAGAATCCTCTCTGGGGCATTGTTCTTTTATTCTGCAGGTACACATTCTCTTGGATGTCTTCATCACATATTAACTATTCATATTCAGGGTTAGTTAGTTGTACGTCGTCATTATCATATGATATATCTTTGTTCTTTTCGCTGTCATGGCCACACATCGCGGTCTGTATGTGTACCCTTCTTCCGGATATGTCCGTTTCCTATTTGGAGGAAAACAGGGATTCTAGTGGCGTGTACTTTGCTAGGAGAAGAAATTGGAACAAACGGTTAGTTTCCATTCCACAGCCTAGAGGAAATACTGACCATGGTGCACTAAATGATATTTTCCCTGTTTGCATACATATAGATATATCTATACTTCCCTAAGAGAAGTAACCTCTGTAATGAAACCCCCGACTGTTAAGATAATAGCTAACACCTCAATAGAAGCAATAACACCATGATGTAGTGTTCGGGGGATATGAGACGTCTTGGTTCTACTTAGGATTTCCAATTCAGTGTCCAAAACATAATAAGCTAATGACAGGGAGAGGACCATCAGTAGAACTCAAAGACATTATGTACTCCCCCAAGCGCCGAATTCCTGTGTGGTGGGTTGTGACAGATTTGCATAAACTCATAGGTAAAGAACAGATGCAGGTGGATAAAATGAACTGAACGTACTGGGAGGGAGAATTGCGAGTGACACCCCTTGGGTAATATCCGCGACTGATGAATTGGATGCGGGGGATCTTCAATCTGTATGTACAATATCAGGAAATTCAATAGTTTGGACGGTAATTATATCTTCCGAATCTGTACCCATTCTACATTTATATTCTGTGTGTCTGCACCCGATGTCATTGATTTGAACACTGAAGACTCCAATAGAAGTTGCTATTGTTGCACTCCAACCTCCTGCCGAATTTTCCCCTCTACGAAGCTGCCACGTTTCACATATGCACTTAAATTTTTCGCAATCCTCACGGGTGCTCCAACTATTTTATGGTTGGTGGCGTCCTCTCATTTTGAGTGGCAAGATTTAACGGAAGTTCTGAATAATAACCTGGACGCTCAAAGATATTGTAGGAGAGAGTAACTGTAGTACAGTCTTCTCTTGGTAAACATCTATCAATAGTTGCGGTTCGTATAGGAGTACCATTCAAACCAGGAGTATTTACGGTATGCAACCACTGTGTTCCCTTGAGCCAAAGTAATGAATTCCGCATGCATCATCTTCTGCATGAGAGTTTCAAGTGTGAGGGACTTGTCCACATTCTTGCCCCCACAGTATGCACAAAATTTCTACGGTTCCCATTAAGCCTTTCCTTATGCCTTCGTGTAAATAGTGAGGATGCACAGGGGAATCGGAACCTGTAATCATAGTAAGATAAGTGGTCAGGGAACTCCACATATTTACATGACACATGTCCCTGGGGTGTTCTTGGGGGGTGAAAATTGTAATAGAACATTTATAAAATAATGTGTCATATCACCCAGTACATGGTCTGAATGAACACGTCCTATGTGTTTGTTATTATCGTGGTACTGTTCTTTACTATTATTCTGGAAGGTAAAGGATGTGTTTTTATATATATCGCATGCAATTCCTGGTGCTGAATGCTACGGTTCATAATATCGGTTAAAAGGAAATATTCTGAACTAGTAATTTTACCTATATTACATTGAAATCTCCGTTTTACATCACATTGCCATCCCTGATATCTTGCCACATGATGTATGCATCTTCTGAAGGATGATGTAATAAATAGATATTTTTTTATGAAAGAAAAAATTCAGACACTGTAAGATGTCATGAAGAAGTACGTGGAATAATGGTGTGACTATGTATATTATATGTGCTAGGCCAGAAGATACGGTTTCGAAGAAATCTGCACTCTAGTTTGCTGCGTCTTTAGAGTTGGAAAAGAGCGTGCTTTTTCAATAAAATGATAACAGTCGAATTAGGAACATAGGTATTGATTATAAATCCGTCTTATATTCATAAAGTGTGCAGAGGAGTTCGCCCTGCCGATTAAAGTCAGTCCCTTGATCATGAAATAGGGCGTAGCCTGTTGGTTACTTCTCTATAGGACAGTACATTCAAATTGAGAAGCCCCTGCCAAAAAAGAAAAAAGAATTGTAATATTATATAATACGTGCAATGTCATGATACGCCATGTGGTAAAGTTCTGGTGCTTCATACATGATATATCCATTTATCGGAAAGTGTAACATATAACCTTAATCTGCAGAGCATCACAAAAACAAATATAGATACCGCATGTAAGGCGCCTTCGTAGCCCTGGGTTAACCATGCTCTTTTGGGATAAGGAAGGATATTTATAAATTCTCCGTCCCTTTTTGCTTCCGTTGTTTAGTTTTTTCTGATTAATTAGTTTCTGCTTCTTGTTGATTTGTGAACTGCCCCAAGTAATTCTGGAAACTATTTTTTCGCGCTATAACAATAAACCCACGTGAATTTATGCGCTGTTAATAATGCCCACCTAGAAGGGTGCGTGTGCAAGGAAGAAAAAAAGAATTGAAACAACTTAAGTATAACATATATCATGTCGTGTCATTGAACTGTATAGAAGGCGTATATTATAGGATTTTTCTCCTTCGCAAAGAGTGGCTGCCCTTTGGAAGCATATGCGTGCTTCGTTATTTAGGGACCGATCTCATGCGCGGTTGAGATATTATGAAGTAAGAGAAAAATACTCTCTTAGTATGGTGTTTTGAACGATGTGAATCACAGGATGTATACTTCTCTGGTCTGTATGATATTACATGTAGGACCACAATTAGAAATAATATGCAAGATAAATTCATTTTTATAAATAATTTTTGGGGAATTATTTTATGGAGCTCAAGAAAAAGTGACTGGGTAATTTTTTTATTTCGTACAACATAACAACGTGGTGGTAAAGGAATCGGTAGAATCAAGGAACTGTACCAACACGTAATGTTGCGGAAAAAAATGTTTCATCCAATTCAATTTTTTTAGGAATCTTCACGAAGCATCACGTAACGGAAGAGGCCAGAACACGAAAAAAATAAACACGCCTTACAGTGTGCCATATTTTGCTTACTACGATCTATATGTCACGGTTACTTTATGTACACCTAATACTAAAGTTCATCCGAGGAGACGGATCACAGGAGGAAGATGCTTGCAAATATATTTCCTACGGAATACTGAGTAATAGCGGCACTCCCCCAGGGTACTGTCCGCATCATGTGAAAAAGTCATTTCTTATTATTCTTCACTACTTCATTACGTAACTGAATCTATTTTTGTGGACATCTTGAAGGACGAAGAAAAGAGTGATCAGTCTTATTATAGAATTCTCCCCCTGCAGGGGCGAGGGTAGTATTATTTGGTTTATGGTGTAAATAGTCTTATGTAACCTGTATTATATTTGAATCTTGAGCAAAAAGTTTATATTCTTTTGATGCGCGACGCAATTAGTTGGATGTTGCCTGCTCCCTAGTACAGCAATTGTGGTATTATATAAAGTGTAAGATGTAGCCCCATAAAGAACCTATGTCTACGGAGAATCCAATTTTAGCACAGTGAATGTGGATAGAATATGTAGCCGCCCCAATTCTGGACAGCACAGAGGGTTCCAATTAGGTGGGGATAATGTAAAAAGAATTATGGTTGGAGATGGATCTGTGTCATACTATACAGGAGGTGAAAATTTTTCCTTGCGATGCCATCTATTTATGGCACTTGATTCTTACAAATACCAAGGGGCATTTTCTTTGTTTCGTTTTTTCCCTGTCCCTTGTCCTTTACACTAAGATGACTTTGCAGCATAGTTTGCAGGAACGAAGTTCACAGGAAATTATGAATAGGTGTAAATGTGTCAATACAGGACAGCTCTCAATAGACGTATTTCCACTCTGAGAATTGAAATAGACATTGAGCAGGAGACCATTGTGAATTCTTTAAGAGAGACTTCGAATTGGTTGTTCACATAACCTAATTCTCTGACCAGGGAGGATAACAGGAAAAGTGCGTGTTAGACAGTTGAATAATAAGACTGCGTTCAGATTAAGAAAGAGAACGCATGGCCTGATTGGAAGAGGATACATAAATCAGCAGGTGAGACGTCAACTATTATGCTCTTTACATGCCCCCTCGCGACACACTACTCCGTGACTCATGAGGAAGTAGATTAATTTGCTTGCTCATTAAGGACGAAGTCAATTCTAATATTAAAACCATACCCACGTCCACCTATTTATTTATTTTAATGGGGGCGAGTTGTTCGGAAGTACAAATCGCGAGTATTCGTGGAGGCATTCATATGACCTGTGTCTCTTCATGTTGTATATAAGTAATGGGCATTAATAGTAATTGCTGTGTCGGGATCACATTAATAATAAATGGTTGCAGCGTTATAAGCACGCCTTGGGTAGGGTCCTATAGGAATGAAAGAATTTTTAATTATTTATAGAAATCTGAAGAAGGCGAGTCTTCATATGTCATGCACTGTTTATATGTGTATCCAATTTTAACAAACTGACACATATTTAAATATACACCAGGGATGAAAACTCCATATAATCCATTATGGATAAAACTACAGACGACACAAGACAGGAGAGGGGATAATAGAAAAAGATATAAAAACATGAACTCCATGCGAGGTGTAGGATTAGTGTAAAATGATATAGTTAAAATATGACTCCTGTTCGTATTCATGATAAGGATCGTTTCCGTTTGTTGAGGTCTCTCTATGATCACATCTTCTACATGGAGGAGAGCATAAGAGAAAATACAGGAGGGGGCGTAGATCACATGCAAGGTAGGATAATTTGGCATATGTCCGCTACGGACGGGTTCTGCTGGGGAGATCTATGTGCGTTTTATTGTACCAAGAAGGAGCATTTTCTTATAAGTAAGATTTGATTTTTATTGAGGAGCCCTAGTTTTTTCGCCAGCATCTTTCTGTGTAGCGCAAGCGTTATGAAAAACCTTAAAGATTAGTAAGTGTGCAGGCGCATATTTATATGACTGCACACTCTAGTAATTTTTCCTTGAACCTTACAATGGTACCTATACTTATATGTAAATATGTATACATATATATGTCTATGTGATAATATTATTTTGATAAGTGGCATAATGCTAATATATTGCATCTAAACAGTTGTGATAGAACCTACACCACACGTCGGTGTACGCAAATGAATATTGCACACTGTAATAACCCACATATTAGAATATAATCCTGACTTTGTACAGTTGGTCACTTTTACGGGAGAGTCCTTTCCAGAAGTGTCAGGGTAATTCTTGTTGCTCGTTTCTTTCTTCTGTTTCATGATAGATTCTGCGATACTTAACTCGTCGTTTATTTCTGTGTACTGATTGGCGCGTGAAACTATACGGATGGACTGGAAGGCCACCTAAGAGGCAATGGTTTCTCAGGATACAGAATTGGCTACTATGAGACAAAAGTTGTTGAAAACATTTCTACTAAGTATTCAATTAATAATTAACTGAAGGACCTCATATTTATTCATTTTGATAATATCGCGCCCATTGATTTGAATCTGTTATTCTTTACAGGATATCCCCTTTTGGATATTGCGGTCAAAGGTTAGGTGAGCAGATCATGATGGTTTTAATGAAACTGTTAAATCTGTCACTACATCAGTTTAATATTAATTAAAGAAGAAATCCATTTCTGATCAAGGGCTTGACTAAATGGGAATAAGTATGCGAGTGAATAGTAAGAGTTAATCATTCTTCGCCGTACCCTGAAATGTGCGGAGGACAAGATATTGCAATAATTCTATTTAAGAGTTCCTCTTGTCCCGTTACGGGAGTGGCTGACTACTACCAATGTGCTAACGCGGTCCGATTAGTTCGGTTGAGGGGATTACTTATTATTGGAGAAATTTAACAAGGAAAAAAACAAAAAAATACCAGTATTAAATCCCTATGTAAAGCAACGGAGCATACGGTGATATGAAAGTATGTGAATCAGAATCAAACCGGAATCCATAGGGAATGACGAGAATAATGATAACTCACTTGATTGTGATTACCCCCAGATATATATAATACGAGAGGGAACAAAGATAGTGAAGGAATTGTGGGGGTGGTTATAATATATTACGACAAATACGTCATAGAGATTAGGAAGAAATTCCAGTATTGAATCATGAAGAGAAACTGACAATAACAAATATATTTGATTATAACGTCCTCATTTCTGCATATGATGAATGGTAGTAAAGTGACCAAACAACCTACGGCATTCTTCATTTGGAGTGGTTAAGCCATTTTACATTATGGGTATGAACTGTTGATGCATCAATTCTGAGAGGTATAAGCAGGATATTGGCGCAAGAAATACACGTAATTTACATCCTTCTATACATTGCTATCATTTCTTGAAAACAGCCTATGTGTTGTTGACTCCTTTACACCTGACCATGGAACATGTCCCCATGGATATACATACAAATATGTATATTCTTTCCCTTCTATATGTGGGATTAATTCATGAGTCATAAGAATAAGAAATGTTAACCTGGGGAATTATGATGCCCATCTGGCGTTATAAAGGAAAAGGCTACACAAGTGCACCACCAGAACGAGAAAGAATAGTACGGATGGTTAAACATCTTTAAGCACAGGAAAAACGTAATTACTAGTATATGCTGATTCAAATTAGAAGATTCTTCATTTGGCATAAAGATGTGCCCCCTTAAATTACACAGTTGTCCATGAGGGTTTTCATCTATGCATATATAAAGGGAGTATTGGATTGTTAAATTTGAACTGGTATAATATGAGTTGTAATTTAATATTGACTTCTAATTGTATTTTGCATACCATCGGAGGGGCCCCTACAGCGTCCAAATGTTTTCATGCCTCCCTGTGGAAACTCGTATGAGTTGAATACAATAGTGATATGCAGATCCAATGTTCGCAATGTGGAATGTTGGGCCGTCGTTCTTCTATGGCTTCCTTTATAGTTACCTTATTTTTGTGAATGCGTTCTCATGCCCCATCCTTCTTGTTAGTGTGTTTTTTGATGTTTCGATATCTTCACCAGTATCCCTCCGCATGTTGCATTATTCCTATGTATTTTCTCTCAGGTTTCATCATTTTTATGAGAGTGTTTTTCCATGGCGCTCCTTTCTTATATATGCGTGTTCATGTGGGCGAATTTCGCGAACGTGGTCTCACGTGGGATAATTTTCGCGGACGTTGTTTCATGTGGGCTAATTTTCGCGGACGTTGTCTCATGTGGCCTCATTTTCGCAGAAGCCCTTCCATGTTGCGTAATTTTGTAAATGTGCCTTCATGTGCGGTTTCTTGCGAAGGTGATTTCCTCTGGGCTAATTTTTCGTGGACGCTGTCCCACACTGCGTAATTCCTCGCGCACGCCTCTTCGTGTGGCGTAAATTCTCCACGACGTAGCCTCATGTGGCTTAACTTGTTCAGAGATGTTTCATGTTGATGAATCTCTGGGGGGTCCCCCTCATGTTTTATATTTGTGGCAGGCAAGCTGTTTCGTTTCGCTTCATTATATATATTTCTCTATTTAATTATTTCATGATGATACACCTTTCTGCCGCATTTCCTTCACGAGAATCTTTGGAGGGTTCGTTTATGATGAAATCCCTCGCAGCATCCTTATGAAGATACCACTTTTGCTGGCATTCTCATGAAGAGGCCTTTACCTGCCGCATTTTTATGACGATTTCTTCTTTGTCGTTTTTTCATGATGCTTCTTTTTTCTACATTTTAATGATGCTGTTTGTGCGAGTCATTGCGCTGCTCTCGTCTTACGTCACTGTGATTTGTATTGTTTCGCGGCGGCACTGTTATCCGTACTGTTTTGCCGCGGTAGTATGATGCTTTCTCTCTGTGTAGCATTTTACTAAGGGTGCTTATATCTCGCATGTGACTATAATAATGCTTCTTTGTCCTACATTTCTGCACAGCTACACTGCTGTTGTTGCGTCAATATGAAGATTTTTCTGTGTGTCGTATTTTTTTCAGGATGATATTTCCTGTTCCATTTTTATGAAGTTCTCTTCTTTTATGGTGCGTCAATGTGACGTGTATTTTCCCTGTAGGCCATCTTTTTTCGCAAGATCCATTTTACCGCGTTGTACTTGTAATATATTTTCTGGCTCGTCATTCCTATAGGGACGGCTTGTCTCGCCGTGTTACTATTAAGATTTCTGTTTGTGTTTCATTTGTTTCCTGACGATATTTTCTTCTTCGGGTGCCCCGATGAGTTTTCTTGTGCCACGTCATTATGAGAATTCCTGCTGGGGTGGCATCTTCCTGACGAAGAATCTCTTTACCGTGTTATATTCATGATATTCTTCTGTTAGGCTGCTTTTTAAAGATGCCTCTTCCTTCTACTATCCAACCGCGAAGATATTTTCGCGAGGCCCTCTTTTTATGAAGATATCTCTCTTCCGCAGCATACTTATGATCCTATTTTCTTGCGGCAGCCTCAATATATTGTCTTGTTTCATTTGTTTTATATGGATGCTCCCTTCTCCCGCGGGATCGTGAAGATGTTTTTCTCTGTGTCATCTCTTCTACGAGGATGTACCCTTCCTCGCGGCCTCGTGAAGATGTCCTTCCGTGTGGGATTCTCTGTATGAAGATGCCCTTTTTTTGCGGCATGGTCTATCTGTTGTCCTGCTTCTTATTGTTTCTATGAGGATGCTTCCTTCTCCCGGTATGTTCAGGATTTTCTTTCGTCTTGTCATTCTGAACATGTTTTTTTGCCCCGATCATTCTGAAAAGGTTTCTTTTTGCCGCATCATGGTGAAGATGCCCTTCTGGCTGTATCCTTGTGGATATGTTGTATTTATTATATTTTACTCTCTTTTATCACAATCCTCTGTTTCCTAAGATCTTCAGCAGCGTCCTTATTTTTTTCCTATGTCGGTGCATTATGAAGATTTGTCCTTTCTCTGGTTATTATGACAATGGCCACCTATTTGAAGTGTAAATATCATGACTATACAGCTGCAGTAGTATTACCAGACAGGAATAATATACCGATTTGTGAAAGAGCACCTTTATCCCTGGTGTATTACTGCTTTAAAAGTCATGATGTGCATGGAATACTATTATGTGAAAAATAGTGTTACGTGGATAATACTGTTAATTGGACAGCAAAATCACGTCAAGGGTAAGGATTTTCCTGGAGGATTATTGTAGGAAGCCTATTGACCTATCTGTAATACTCATACGTGCAAAGTACTGACATGCTTATGGTTTCTTTACATGAGGTGCACCTAACCGCCTGGGGTACTCCACTTAGCAGAATACTGGTTTTCGTCTGTAACGCTAATGCAACGCTCGGATTTAGGTTTAATACTGTTATGTGAAGTGCAGGGATATTCCAGAATCTTTGACTAAACAGTATTGACGTGTTTGGATTCTCAATCGTGAGGAATCCCAAAATTGTCATGGCACTGTTATAAGAACGTCCTAGTACCTCAGCTGTCTGCATGACCTCCAGTGCAATCATACTAAGGTGTACCATTATGTATTGTGCGTTGTGCCATAATGAATATCATTATATTCAAAATAGTATGTTATGGAAGAGTACGAGTCTGCCAGGAATATCGTCTTGTCAAGGGTAGTTTTATGTGGATTATACTTCTATTTAAATAGCACGGTTCCTTAATAAATATTTATGCTTTGCAATGCCAATATGAGGAGAGTACACACGAATGTATAGTATTGATATCTGGAGTTAGCTGACGTGTGTGGCATCTCGCTATTTGGAGAATACCAAAGTTGAAACAATCGTATTAAGTGATGTATCCGGGTGATAGGATAGATTTTGTGTAACCTCTTATCATTTGGGGAAAGATATCTTATGAAGAGTGAACAAGCTCCGGTATTGTTCTTATGTGAAGGATACTTCTGTGTCGAGTCCGCTAATGTGGGAAGTGCAGTTTCAATTGAAGAAAACTACTGTTATGTGGGGGGTGGTGTACCTCGATGAATAAGCCTATCCTTGGGTTATCATGATGTCAAGTGTCTTGATGTAAGTCTAATGACTTCATTAGAACACGTGCGGGATTGCGGAGCTCCTAAGGCCCATCTGTAATACTATTACTTAAAGAGTATTGCTACTCCGGGAGTATGATGATGTTAAGAGGAGTTTCTTGTCTTGAGTATTAATCATCCAGAAATGGTATTGTTTTACGGATACCATCCGATCTGAAGTTATGTGCGTTTATTACTAGGACTATATCTGTGGTACTATCCTTTAGAGAGTACCCTTGTACAAGTAATATTGTTATGTTAACAATAATCTCGTTTGGATAATACATTCATTTGAAGGGCACAGTTGTATGGAAAATATCAATGACTTGAAGTATCATTTTGTGAAGAATAAATAGATATAGGCCGTACTCCTAGCTACAGAGTGCTAATATCCCCGGTACATTCTTATTCGGACTATCAGAAAATTACGATAATACTGTCAAGTAATTTATGTTAAAGTCGATAAGATATATGGCATAATGTTTTATCATATGCAGAGAGTTACACCATACAGGGTACGAGCGTTTCCGTAATAGTTTTATATGAAGCGTACTATGGTATGTACCAGGGGGATCTGTTCATTGTTCCAACCTCTGAAGAGTATTACGGTTATGTATAGAAGCGTGTGCCTAGATGAGGATGACTATCTCTGAAGTGCCATTATGTAAGGGTGGTCTATTTAAGTTTAATGGTCCAATTATATGAAGTACGGGATTGTACAACCTTTAAGAAATGTCGGCAACACCATTATCCCGATAGGATTATGGTGCCAGAACTACTCTGATATGAATGGTACCCCTGTTTGTGAAATATTGATATTCTACGAGTGTCATTATTTGGAGAGCACTATTCCGTCGAGTGTATGAATATTGCAACAGAACTATTGCGTGGACAGTACAGATGTGTATGGATTTCCAATGGTGATGATTACGGAAGTTGGCGTAATACTGTTATATGAATGTACTAATTATTGACCTGTGGTAATATCTGTTGTGCATTGTTGTCTGAATAGAATACCTCGATAGGTAGTATGCATAATCAGAAACCATATTTTGTGAGTATACTCATATGTGTGTAGTACTGTCATTTACGGACAACAATTCTGTGCAGATTATGGATGTTCCTGAAGCAGAACTATATGGAGGGTAAAAATTTCGAAGCCCAGGATTTTGACTTATATTATAGGCACAAAACTGCTGTGTGGAACCTGTAGAAGTCCCTGAAGTATAATTATATTAAGAGTGGTGCATTACGTGATGCTTCATGAGTTTACCAGCACCGCTCTACCAAGTGTAAAGATATCATTAGATTAAGCCTGTGTGAAAATAACTTTTTAACTTCAAGTGTTGATATTCCCAGAGTACTATCATATGAATAATGCATGTGTGTGCGAAGCATTGATATAGAAGGAATAGCATTGTCGGGATGAGTACTACCATGCCCGGAGTAGTATGATTTAAATAGTACTAACATACTGCAGGTACCATAATATCTACAATTGTGTGTGTCTGAAAAAGACTATTATATGAATGAAATCAATGGATGAAGTTCGTAGATATACATGTTGTAGTATTATATAGACACGACAATTGTGTAAGGTGATGGGACATGTTGCAACTGTCTATGGATGTGAAGTATGGAGATATAGTACCAATATTATTCTATAGGCATTCAAGGATTGTACAAGTACTGTACGAACTAAATGATTTGAAGCGTCCAAACCGCCTGGAGCCGATATATTTGAGGGAAAACCATATACAGGTCGTAATATCATCTAAGAAAAATGAATATATGGAGAGTGTCATTCTGTTGAGTCAAATGACATGCTGAATGCACTACAATGTGAAATGTGATGATGTTCCTGGTGAAGTGTTACCTGAGGGGTTCCATTGCTCCTGCAGTGGCCTTATTTGAGGAGCACATCTGCGTAAAGGGTAAGGATATCCTTAACTGTTACTGTATATGAAACATACCAAGGTGTTAGTAGTACTTACATGTGGAGAGTACTTACACCGTTCTTGTATTGGTATTTGAAGAGATCAAGTGTACTTGGGGTACCATTATTTGTACAATATTGGTGTGCATTTCCCTTGCTGATGATGTGCGCGGATATAAGTGTACTACTATTATGTGACGAGTATAGGGGTGCATGTACTAGTGTATGTGAAGGATTCAGGGTTTATGTTTTCATTACATGGAAGACCCTATTCTGTGAAGTCCATGGATATTCCAGTATAACTATTGTCTAGGGAGTACCATTGTCTCTACTTTCTCAATGGTAAGGAGTCCGGAAGTTCCCATAGTACTGTTCTATGAAAGTATTAGTAGTCGAGCTATATGGATCACCTGGAGTGCTATTATACAGACGAAAGCATGATGTGTCAAGTTTTTTGCCTTTATGAGTAAAATTACCCTTGGAGTACGATTCTTTGATAGAGTACGATAATACAAGAGGTACCGTCGTGTTTACAGTAGTGTTTTGTGGATAATACTTTCATTTGAACACGATATTCGCTGAAGGAGTATTCATGACTTGGAGTACTGTTATGGGAACACTATAGATGTATGTATAGTACTCATATCTAAGAATGCCTGATATGGCTTGTACGATGCCATTTGATGAGTGCCAAAGTTAAGCCGGTATTATTAAGTAAAGTAAAGAGGGGTATAGAATTCATGACTTAGCTTTGTGCCGTATGAGGAGGGCCAACCGTTACGCAACGTGTGGAAGTTGCCATAGTACCTCCGTATGGAAGGTACACCTTTGTGGGACTCATGCATGTGTGAATTGCACGATTACTTGAAGAACACTGAGGTTATGTACAGAATAGTTTGTCCTGATGAGTACAACTCTCCTTGGAATAACATTATTTGAAGGGTCGTCATGTTGGTATAATGGCTGGATGATATGACTTGGGCGATTCTGCAGATTCAACAGGTGGCCTCCAATCATGTTGTCTAAAGAGTAGAGCTATACCAGGGCTACAATAATGTTAACCGTATTATTTTGTCAAGAATACTGATTTTCGAGGGGTCTCATTATTCGTAGGGTAAGATTCTAAGAAGTGCATGCATATTCTACAAGTGTAGATGACAAGGAAGTATACATGTGTCCCCATTTCCCATGTTGATGAATGCGGAGATTCTCGTAGTACTGTTATATGAAGGTATTAATGGTTGATCTATACTGATATCTGCAAAGTACTGTCCATTTAGGGGCATAATTCTATAAAACGTACGGATGATCGGCGGCGCAGTCTTGTGAGTGTACTCATATCTCCCTAGTGTGATGTCTTGGAGTGCGAAATTGTGGTGGGGTTCTGGATACCCCCATGCACAATTATTAAAAGAGATGGAACATCATAGCCTGCTGTTTAGGCTTCTATTATAGGGAAAGCACCCTATTCCAGAATTCATAGCACTCCCTGGAGTGTTATTATATTAACAGCCGTATAATGTGTGGAACTGCATGATTGGGGGAGTACCACTGGAGCAAGTGTACACATGTGCGTGGAAGAGTATTGTGTGAGAATTGTTTATTGGCTTCCAAGGTTGACCTTCCCAGAGTCCTATTATGTGAATAGTGGGGATGTTTGCGGAGTATCAATATATTAAGCATAACATTGTAAGGTGAATACTACTGTACAAGGAGTACTATGATTTAAAGTGTATGGACATGCATGCCGTATCGTTATCGTTATCCTTCGTCCCTGGCAAGGATGGTAATGTATAGATTACTCCATTGTAAGAAGTAGAGAAATATACTGGGTGTATTATTATAGGAAAGGTCTGATGATATAAACAGTACACATGTGTCTAAAGTGTAAATACGAATAAAGAATACAGGTGTATCAAGAATATTATTGTATAGGTTTATCGGTTATGCTGTTATTGTAAGGAAGGGAAAATATTTTATAACTAACACAAAGGTTGTAGAACATTCATTTGAAACAAATTATTGTTCCTGCACTCGTATGATATGTAGAGAGAAGGGAAAATGAGAAGTGGCATCCTGTGGAGTGCAATGATATTCAAAATACAGTATTGTATGAGGGATACGGATATTCTCAAAAACCGTCCTTTGAAAAATAGGGATTTTCCTACAATTTGGCCATCGAAAATGCAAAAGTGTCGGAATTCCGGCCTATGTGTTCCAACTTTCGGTTCCTATTCTTTGGACGACACCAATCATTGATTAGTATAGATCTCTATGAAATAGTATTATGTGAAGAATTGAGGGCTACATTTTAAAGAGAAGATCAAGCCATTAATCACCCGCAGGTGCAAGCGCTGTAGCTGTGCCGAATGTATTATTGCTGGAGTAATACAGTAGAAGCAGAAATACTTGCATATGGACAATGCGAGGATTCTAGCGGAAATGTTGTTTGTAATGTACAGTGTTGCAGGAATGCTTTTATGCGAACGCCTAATAACATAGCGTTTTAGATACGACTAATTGGAGAACGTGACTAATTGAGGAATAATGATTTATGTGTAGTATTATTTTAAAAATATCGCTCCCCCCAGGACTACGGGCCTGTGGAATGTACGCTTAGCATACAGTCCTATTATATGAACCATGCGTCTATACCTCCAGTATTATTTTGTGTACTGTATACATGTCTCCTGAATATTATTCTGCACCAGGTTCATATTTTACAGTTTTTTTATTTGGAGACTATTATTGGCTGAAGATAACACATCTCGATGGGGAACCATGATATCAGGAACATAATCGTGCGGATTCTATGACTGGAATACGTTTATATGGAAAACTTAGGCAAACGGGTGCTATTATTTGAAGGATACAATGAGGCGAAGGATAGGCACTTCCTTGGAAGACTAATATATAAGGAATACATTTTTCAGGACCATTATTAAGTATGTGAGAAGGGAACATTTCCCTAGAGTATCACTGCATAAACAGTAGGAGAATCCCCAGAGTCCGTATTTTGGAGTCGTCAAGATTTAGAGCAGGAAGCACCATAATTTAAAAAGAGATATTTAGTAAGAGATAATAGAGTGGATTCAACGGTCTTCTTGGAGGGGTTCCAATCACTAAGCGTTACACATATATAGAAAATACCAACTGCCTGCGGTATATTTGTATTAACTCTAACAATCGGCCTTACAGCAACTGTTTAAAGAATAACCCTGTGTCAAGGGTAATATTCTATGTAGAACAGTGCTGTGTGAGGAGGAAAATTCTTTAAGATAATACAGAGGTTTAGAGGGTCGAATTCTTTGAGGAGGACGGCAATTGTAAACCTTATACCATTTCACCAATACACAAGCTTGTAAAATAATTCCATTCCAGGAATACGCATATACCACTCCTAAGGCTATTCATGGTGTATAAGAGACTGAGGGATACAATCACTAAAAGGGGTTCCGAAATACCAAGAGTGTTTATATATAGGAAACCCTTCTTATAGAGAAAGTGACATTGTAAGTACAGTAATACATCGTAAACTTTGATTATTCCCTCTCATTATTATTGTCATATAGATTCAATAATTATCCGGGTAGTATTAGGAAAAAATGATCACGGAAGATTTGCACACCTGCCTTAATCTGTAGTATTTTCCTCTTAACAGGACTCGAAATCGATGCGGTACTATTAAAATATAACAATTATTTAAAATGAAAGATTAAACTTCTTATACTCTAAAGAGGAATAGGAGATTATAAAGGGAATAGTACTATATAGAACGGGCTGTTTCTCGTGGAGAGTTAGGAATAATAATAACATGGAACGAGCGAAGGGGATAAAATGATCATAAGAATAGACATAAGATATTAAACAATCATTAATCTAAAAGGGGGGGGGGAGCAGGCATATAGGAGCGGATGACTATAATAGAATATATATACGAAGGAGACTGACATATTTGAGAAAATTATCTACTTCAAAGAACCGAGAGGGATATATGTAACACCATATTAATACACCACGAGCCAGTGCGGATATCAACATGACGATCAAAGTGGAAATGCCTAAAAGGGAAGGTACATAATTAATACATACAGAGGAAACAGCACGAGAAGAGAGGATACAAGGAAAGATGCTCAGGGGATGAAGATTAGACACTACACCTAAAGCATAGAAACCAAAAAAACAGTAGGGGTGACACATAAGGAATAATGTGAGCAGCAGATCTTTCCCTCTGACAAAATAGATATATGAGACGGAGGGTTTCATCTTATCTGATATATAAGCAGAGGAATAGGGGCAGATCATATCTTGAATCTGTGATAAGTTCATGAAGTATAATAAATTCCACAGTAGCTTCATGTTTGTCCGCATCTAAAAATATAAAGAATGATAAAACAGGCGTCACATTCATCCAAAGAGGTGGATGTAAATAGTTAACTGGTTTTCATCCCCACTTTTATGCATAAGGGAGTATAAGGACATACAATCCAAATATTCACCTATTGGAATGAGAACATGTCCTATAAAACTCTATTACAACCCCATGAAGTTATGAAATTCTAATAACAAGTGAGTACAAGTCAATAACCACCTCAAGATAAAGGCAGTGATATCATGTTTATATTAGTTTTAAGTGTAACTCTATATAAACATCTACTCAGTAATAGAGAAGGGAACTCCCTTAATAGTAAGACCAGTAGGTTTATGAAACTATTATGTGTTATTCCCCGTGGTTAATTGAGCCAAATTTTAAAAAGTAATGATGAATTCCTGTGTGGATTCATTGAATAGCCAGAAGATTCTTTATGATTCAGTACATTATTCCACAGCACATTACCCGCATATTCTGGCTGAGGAATAGCAGGATAAATGGTAGGGTAGAGGATATTGTGGCTTAGAGGATATTATGAGAAATCCTCGAGAAGGACATATCGTGATGTACTAAAAGCTAAAGAAATGGGAAGAGGTAAGGCAACACACAAAAAGAATATAATGATTACAAAGATACTGATGAGCGATAATGTTTATTACAAAGAAACAGGCCAAAGCGACTAAGAAGATAACAAATCCCAGCTACGGGAGAGGAGGCTAAGAGAAATCAGCACTACTAGAGTAGGTTAAGAGGTTCGACCCCATTAAGTAACAAGAACTAATATAAAGCAGAACCCCCAGACAACAATAGCGGGCCGTCCCTCCCACAACAAACTGACAGAGGAACGACCCAAGAAGACATTAGCGCTCCGATAACCGTAGAATAAGAATCATCAAACATCAACAACTATACCGATAAACGACGTAGTCGAAGAAATAAAGTAAAAAATATGGACGAAATAGTAGGGGGGAAGAAATAAACGGGCAATTCTGAGAAGAAAAAGGAAGAAGCAATAAAACAACCTGCGAAGGTGGATGAGAACTAGCCAAGTTTTAGAACAGGTATGACTCGAACCGACTCCGTCCTATCCGGAAGATAACGTCATATACTATGAGCAATTAAAGGAAGCACAACGCACCAACGAGAAAAAGAAGTTCCATCTCAACCCAACGAGGGAAAAAAAAAAACAGGAATTAGAGTAGTTAGCGGGGAACCCCCCCCCCCTGAAAATATCATTGCCTAGAAGTATAGGAGCCCGAAGAACTAGGAAAGATCATTAAAATTCTATATTAATGCGAAGTATGGACTGGAGTGGACCCAAGCGTAAGAGGAAGCGAAGCCTTCCCGTAAGGATAAAGAAGCTATATGTGGAAAAGAGAGGTAGCCCCCTGCAAGAGAAATAACATGTAAAGAGGAGTAAAAATAAGTATCTATACAGTGGAGGGATTAAAACAGGTTCAACATCCCCCATCTGATCTAGCACTAAAGAATAAAATAAAAAACAGGAAACAGATAATGATAGCAAGGACCCAGATAACAATCGGCGTACCACTCCAGGAGGAAGTGGAAATAAAGGAAGGATATAGAAATTTATGTATAAAAACACCAGATAGTACAAGGCTCCAGGAAGGGAGTTCAAAAGAATAAACCCGCGAAGAGAAGGCCTAAAGTTAGGAAAGAGGGGAGAACAACAAAATATACCAGATAAACCAAAAGAAATCAGTAAAGGAGTAAAAATCTGTAAAGGCAGAAATGGACGGAAGGAACAAAATAGAGGAAGAGGGAGCAAAGAATAGAAGAGGAACCCTCGATGTATTGCGTAAAAGGAGAATGATGATAATAAGGCAATTAACTGATAGAGTAAATCAGGGAAAACGCCAAAACACGAATTACCCCACCAACAATCCATACAAGGATTGATATCTTCATCAACTCACCAATAGGACATGATGACAAATAAGGTAGCAGTATAAAATCAAGGCAGAAACGAAAACAATATGAAAGAAAAAATTCAGCCCGAACAGGAAATAATGAGAAGCAGCTAGGAATACTAACAAGTCAAAACGCAAAGATACCAAGCGTCCCTCCAGACAGGGAGACGTACACAAAATACCCAGTGGAAGGGGGACCAGTAAGCAACGGCAGGGGGGGGGAGAGGAGGTATCCGACTAGCAGATACAATAGGACGAAGGAGAAATAAACTCAGGAAAGAAGAGTCCGTAGACTAAAGCATCGATAATTAGACACGAGGAACTCTGGAAAAAATTTCAGGAAACGTCTCAAGAGACAAAAATTCTAAATCATTGGAAGAAGGGAAAAGAAGGATAAAGGAAAAGAAAACACACGCCCAAGGACGTAACAGGGACACGAGTGAGATTCTCCGAGGAACAAGAAGAACGAGCCGAACCCGTAGAGAGGGGAGTCCCACCCCAGAAGCAGGTGATCAGGGAAGGAATAAGTAGGGGAAGAAAGAAGGATTCTTGATCCTGCAAAAGAAGGAAGGAAGTCCTAAACAACAATCAGGGGGATGCCACGATAAAGATATCGGAACACAGGAGGGAACCGAGAGAATGTTAACACAAGGAATAAAAATCTAGAATATATTAAATTGTATAAAAGTAAATAATAGGACTAAGCCAAGAGGAGTTAAAAACAAAAAAGAGGATGTGCCTAAGTTCTAAACAACAGGGGAGGAAGAGGACAAGCCCCAATCCCGCATTGGAAATTCAAGGGAGAATTCCTCCCAAGGGACGCAACAAACATATCAAAAGGGCCAAAAGCAAACGACCAGAGTCTAGGACATAAGAAAACCACCAAAAACTATTATCGAATCCCAGAAACAGGAAGATCCCAAAACTTTGGACCAATAAAGAAGCACAATGAGCAGCAGAAGAAAAAGGACACAAGAGCGAAACAGAGCTACCATCTAAATGACGAGAATGAAAAAATATCTCAGGAGTCAATTCCGCCTCAGTTCTTTTAATATTTAAGAGGGATACGAATATAAATACAAGGAAGCATCGCCCGAATGAGTAAATGACAAGAGTCCCAACCTCAAGGGGACTTCATAGAGAAGATATCAATTCAAAATGTAAAAGGAAACCACCAGACAGCCTCATCTTCAAAAGGGCTAGGAGGAAGCAACAAATTCTCCCAAGAGAAACTAACAACCCCGAAATGACATCTCTAGGCGTAAAAGACTCTAAGAGAAGAAGCCGAAAATCTGAAACCGAAGTAAATCGGAAGCGCCTCCAACAGGAGGATAACCTCTCTCGGAAGAAGTTGTCGCCAACCCAAAAAGTACGAAGGAATAAAAAACAACAGATCAAAATGAAGGAAAGGTTGCATTATTCAAGAAGGATCGACAAGGAACCCAATCCCGGAAATAGAAGATAGAATAATCATCACTCCAACACCACCCTGACTAAAAAAGGATAGCAAGTTCAAAAAGATAACTAGTAGAGGAAACATGCAAGTGAAGCCTAAATGCAGAAAGCGACCAACTCAAAACGACTAACGATTAATAAAAGACATATCCCTTAGATTCTAAAGCCCGAGGACTGGAGTAGCAGGCAGAAATTTCAAGGGAATCAATCGGAAGGAAGCCAGACTCTGAAAAAAACTCATTCCCAGCCTCGAAAAGGAACCAACAGCAACAAGAAAATTAGAAAGGAACTACTAGGAAAGAATCTGAACGACATTATTACGCCGGGCCTCCCGAAAGGACTAAGCAGAGGTCAAAACCGTAGAATAAAAACAGAACACTTAAACACAGGACACAGCAAAATAACTCTCCAAGAATCCAAAAAGAAAAAAGAAAGAAAAAAAAGCCCACACGAAGTTAACCCAGGAAGCAGAACAGGAACCAAGAAGTCAAAAGTAAAATCCAAAAAATAAACCTGATGGAACCACGTATCTCTCCACAGGGGAAAAACAATAAAATAAGAAAAGACTCACGGGTAGCAACAACTCCCTAAACCAGAAATAACAGGATCAACTAAGACAAGGTATGAACAAAAGGCTCCAAGAACTACTACGCCGCACCAAATCCCCGAGGACCTTATCAACTGAAATGCAGAAGTCAAGGAAAAAATTAAGAAGCGGGGTTGATAAATCACAACAGAACCGGCAGGCACTAAATCCAAATGAGAGACTAGATAATACCCATGCTACCGGGAAAATCCTCGAAAAAGGCCTAACCAAAGGAGAGAATAGGTGTAGAAAACAGCCTGGCTATCTACTGAAGAATAAACAGCTAATGAGAGAATTAAGGAGTACAAGTACAAGGGAATAAGCCCACAGCACGAAAGGAGAGAAGATTCAGGAATAGGTTAAGGCTGAAACAACAATCCAACTCCAAATAAATGAAAAACTCACCCCCCAAATCTCCTGAGAAGGAACCAAGAAAACAATCATCCAGAATCTTGGGAAGAAGATTTGAAAAAAGTGACTAGACCTAAACAGGAAGGCAAAAAGAAGCCAGAGAATGAAATACTCAGAAGGAACCGAGAAGCATTAGTAGAAAATAATAGGGACAACACCTCGGCCACAACCCCACCGAACGCGACTATGGTATTCCTAAAAGGAAAATCTGGAAAAAACCTAAAGCCACCAAATGACACAAGGTGAGGGAAGACGCACCCTAACAACAATGAGGAGAGCCTCAAAGGATTAAGGCTATAAAAGAGGGGCCAAATTGAAACAAATAAAGAGGGAAAAGTAATACTACCCAAAGCTTCAGTGAACATCAAGCAAAGCCTCCGGAGGTGATCAATCGATGATCGGCAAAATCAAGAGACAGCACCAAAACCAAACAAGATTCAACTGAAAAAAACAACCAGAACTCTGCCAAAAGTAAAAGAAGCAATTAAACACTAAATCGGACGGCAAAGGAGACAGAGCCGAAGAGAACAAAAGAACAAAAGGAGTCACGGGAGGATAACCAACGGAAAAGGCCAAAAGGAAGGACACACAAAAGCTATAAACTTAAGGGGGAGAAATGAAGATATAATTAAGAAAGACAATGGAGCATGAGTAAGTCCAGGTATCAGATTAGGGGATATGAAGACAAATGACAACCCAATCCAGACCAAATATGGGTGTAACAATACAAATCCCTCCAGCGCAAAATAATAACACCCAAGTAATCAATTAAGAACACTTGACAAGAAGAGTCTGGAACCAGTCTGAACTCTCCACGAAGAGTTAAGAGGGATGGCATATCCAGAACCCGAAGGAACAACATTAAAAGCAACTAGGACCGAAAACTCCCAGGCGCCTAGTCAGGGGAGCACCAAGACGAAAATCCCAGAGTGAGACGAATTCAAGAAAAGGAGGCCAATGAATAAAAGGCCACTATGGACCGGCCGCTATGTGTAAATGACCAATACTAGAAGCATCCCCGTGAGGAGTTATGTGGAAAACAAGGAATGTGAACCCCTATTCAGGGAGTATCCCGGGATCGGATGGAGCTGGGACAGAGAAACTGACAAACCAAAGGAGCCAACTCTCCGAACAAGATGGATGAATAAGAAGCCAAGAGTAAAGGAAGATATAAAGGGAAGAACCAGAAGTCATATCGAAAACGACCCCCCAAAATTAAGGACCAGGCGTACCCCTATGACTCCAGGGGGACACCGCGATAGAAAGATCTTATCTCAACCGATAGGGGATCTTAGAACCCAAGTGAATTCGTAAGACGTAATATCAGAAGGTTAATGGTCTCACGATCAGGAAGGGGAGGACGAGACAGACAAGGGAGGCTACAGCTTAGGAGCACAAGGAGAAGGAGCAGAATATTAAAGGATGGAACGGGATAGTCACACCAAATCGAGCATCACCATCTAGCGGAAATAGGGAGACAACTAACTGAGCGTGAAGCGTAGCGCCTCTGAGCCTGAGGTAGAGTGCACTAAAAGTAAAGAAGGGACTAGGAAGAAGGCTGAACGGCCGACCGGAGTCAAGTCAGAGCAATCTAAGAAAGAAGGCAGGATGGAGGAAAGGAGAAGTGGAAAGGGAAGAACCGGCGTGCTATGAAGAGGGACGAAGAGAGCATGAAGAACTAGGAGGGTGAAAAACAAGGGAAACATTAGGAGTCAGGAAGTAATAAGGAAAACCACGAGGAGGGTAAGTAATAAGGGAGTCTTAAACGAGACTGCTAGGATGGAGCAGGTGTCTCGCTTACGTAAGAATAAAGGAATCGGCTCCTTCAGAGCAAGGAATGCAACAGATAAGGAACCTCAGGGCCGAAACCACCCCGAAGAGTCGTCCAAGAGTCCCAAATTCTGAGGGGAGAACACCCGAAGCGAAAGATAATTAGGGAGTTGGATTTGATGAAGCGCGAGTCAGAGAAATCGTTTAAAGTGCGTAAGGAGTGGAGCAACCGACTCAGATGGATTCTTCGGTCCCCTCCGAATGAGGAAGAAAAAGGAAAAAGAAGAGTCCGACTACGAGCCCGTGTAAAGGACGTTATTAAGAATTATGTCTCTCACGGATAAAAGTGGAAAAGTGACACTAAGAGGCTCCAGGGAAGGGGCACGGCAAAATCGGAGGGGCAGATAAGGGGGGGCGTAACAAAGAGTGCCAAGCCCAGAACTCCTCCCAGAGGAAGAGACAGACATAAGCAACTAATCAGGCGAAGAGGATGTAAACCCAGAGACAGAGGGGGAGGAGGGGGGAACCGTCTGTCATGAAAAGAGCGGAAGATGTCAACCAGAGGGGGGATGTCCCTGAGGCCGGAGGGAAGGGGACCAAACACCAAATATGAGGCCCCTCCGTCTAGGATTGGAGGCAGCGGATGTAGGAGTGGCCCAACCAAAGGAAACGAACAGGGGAACAATAGACGACAGGAGATGCATGCAATGGCAAAAGGTAAGTAGGATCGGGGACTACACCGAATCCATGCAGGGAAGGGGGACCAACAAGGCACCCCCCCCCCAAACCACTGCCAAAAGGGAACGGACAAGCGGATGCGTGAAATGAAGAGGAGGATCAAGGGAAGGATTCGAAATTAAAGAAGAAGAAGGGGGAAGGAAGTGGTGCCCATAAACCGTCTCGCGACCCAGGGCGAGAAGAAGGCAAGTGGATGAAGAGTGAACAGATGAGCAGAGTAACCCAAAGCATGGCATTCGTAGGTGTAATCTGTCACCCGAATGATGCATCGATTCCGAAGGGAGACCAGTATCACATCTCCAATGTCACAAGGAGAAGAAGCTGAAAGAAGGGAACAGGCCGGAGTCGAGCAAAACCAACAACCGAAGAAGACAGAGGCTAGGGACGAGTGCATTTTCTGGGTGAATTTAGATGGCGTCGTAGAATCAGGGCAAAAGTCCAAGAAAGGGGGGGGAAGGATATTACGAGAAACACGAAAGGAAAGTAAGCAGAAGAGGAACTAGAAACACAAGAACAGGAAGGACAAGGGGGGAAGTACAGAGAGGAGGAGAGAGACATTGGAGGAGAGGGGCCAGGCAAACTCCTCCAAGCCACTTTCTGAGTGGAGTCTTAGTAAACAGACTGCGAGGGATAAGAATCCGAACGAGAAAGACAAGAGAGAGTGTCAGGGCACGAGGAAGGAAACAAACTGCAAAAAGAGACTCTTAGACACGTAAAAGAAATAACAGAGAAAGGAAAGACTCGAAAGATAGAAGGATCAAACAGAAAAAGTCAACAAGGTGAAAGGCGCGAGGAGGCAGTAGATATTGTATCAGAGACAACACCAACAGACCACCTTCAAGATCAGAACGTGAGAAGCGATAGAACGAAATGGCGGACGGAGGACTAAGTGGGTATATTGGCGAAGTTATCAAAGAAATGGGGTGTGGTGGCGCTACCAAAAGGGCCTCGCAGCGAGGAGACCCGAAATGGTGCAGAGAGAATCCGTGGGAAGGAGCTGGGAAAAGAATAAAGTCCTGGGAAGAGTCAGAAGAGGGTAAAGGACGATACATGACGGTACTACAGGAGGGAACTCGGGCAAGAAGTTTATGTAAAAGTATAGATTGGTGGATGAGGAATATTCAGCTAAACGAACAAAGACATTACGAATGGGGACAAATAACTTGTACACCAGAAGCTACCGGTTGGTTAGGAGGAAATTGGGATCAAGACAAATGCATAGTAGATCCAGACCAGGACGTCTGGGGACTATATAACAGTGGAAGAGAGTTAAGAACAAGTCAGAACATTGAGAGAAGATTGAGTTTATGTATGGATCTAATGACCATATTTATGCAGGTGTTAAATGATATAGGCGTAAGCGAAGAAGAATGGATTAGCAACAACGAAAAAAAAGATCCTTGCGATGATATGTATAAGAAACTGGAGGGATGGATAGGACCCAAAGCAGGCAAAAAAGTAATGGACGATTGGTTTGCCCCAAAATCAAGGGAAGGACAACCAAGCCAACGAATAATAAGGATAGAAAATTCAAATAAGGGAGGTCCATGGGGAGAATTTTTCGGCCTGGTCAAAACCATAGCGGTTGGATTGCAGTGTTCCCAAAGTGCCGACCAGGGAGCAGAGTATATGACAAGTTGTGTATATAGAAACGAGGACAATTGTCAACCAACTCCTCCCGAAGACCAAATCAGCAAAATCCAAGAGGTAAGTTCAAAAGAGAAAATACCTGACAAACAATCACAAGAGAGCACGTGAAAGAAGAAGAGACGGTAGAGAGACGGCAAGAATTACATGAAAGAGGGAACGTCAGAAGATGACGGGATCAAATCAGAGTCATAAGGGGACGAATGAACACGTGATGCTAGCGGTTGTTTATGTGCGGGATGGAATAAGCGGCAGTATAAGCCAGAAACGGCGAGAAAGAAAAACGACCAAACCAAATCTTTCCATTGGAATTTCAGGAATGGATCAACAGGGACAAGACTGGCCAAGAGGTAGAAACTCAATTGACAAAAACGGAAACCAGGACAGGCGAACAACTAAAGCAGTATATTGAGAAGTCAGAACCCAATACAGTAGGCGCAATAATTGGAGGGGTTCTAAGTATAATTTTAGCAATGAGTAGTTTATATGGCATATGGAGAATAAGTAATACATCATTAAAAGCAAGAAGAGAAACCAAGAAACCAGAGGCACCAGAACAAATCAACAAAGTAGGCGTAAGATATCCAGTTACGTTCTCTTGAAATTCAGAAGGGGCCAAGAAAGGAGGGGATTGAATAGGAACCCAGGAAGATAGTAAAAGAGAGTCCCCTAGTCACAAATTGGACTCAAAATAAAGGAACGGATAACCCCACGAGAAGGAAGGAAAGAACAAGCCATGCAACTCCAGCAATAAGAGAAAAAGGGAATAAACTAGAGATCCTATTAAGCGAACTAAAGAGGCAGGAGCCAAAACAGCCCGACTCTTGAAGCAGAAGAGTTAATGGGGTAAATCAGACAACAACCAAACTACGAATGGGCCTAAGAAGCTAATCTAACGGAAGGAAAAGAAAGAACAGGTAAGAGTAAAATTTCCCAGTTCAAAATAGATATATAAGGACAAAATAACTAAATAAGGGGGATATAAGACCAAGGAATGCAAAGCGGCTGGTAACCCCACTACCTATTTCAGCAGAGTGAAGCAAACAAGAAACCCCCAGCACCCGGAGAAAAAGCCAATTCCAAGATAAATAAAGAAAAAAAAGGAAATGAAATATCAACCCCGAAACCAACACCGAAACCGGATAAAACATGTAGTGAGCTAGTGAGAAAAACAATAGAAGTATCTGAAAGTCACTAAAAACGGCTGGAGGAAGGACAAAATCCTAAATAAGCTGAGGTATTACAAACCCAAAGCCACATACCTCGTATAAAAACAAATGAAAGTTACAACGAAAAGACGAACACAACCCCAAAGAAGCAGGACTTCCCCAGATTTTAGGGCAGAAGAAAGAGCAGAACTATAAATTTAAGCATCCATTAAAAGAGTCCAGCCCTCTTACATAAACCAACTGATAGCCGATAACAGGAACATATGCGCAATCCTAAAAATCAATTCTACGACGGGGGAAAAATATCAATAGATGTAAAAAAGGAGAATTGCAACATCAATCATAGAACAAACAATAAAAACTGCCAACAGCACTAAAAGAGCCGAACTAAACACCAAGACCCAGATGAATATAGTCAGTCAACTCCATAGGAGCAAACCCAGCCAAATTAATCACAGAACACCAAGTTGAACAAGATACAGATGACAACAGGAATACTCCCAAGGGAAAACATGAGAATCTAGAGAAATAACCAAAAGAAACAGAAATGAAACACACAAAAAAAGAGGAAACCACGCATATAGACCGTATAGTCTAAAAGGGGATTAGGGAAGCTTCGGATAAATATATAACCGAAACAAACAAAGAGGTATCGGCAGAATCAAGGAGATAAAGTAACTAGTGGATTAATTATTATGAAAGAAGGAATCGATTGAAGCTCAAGATGTAGAAATATCACAGAAACAACTCAGAAGAGGATCAGAGGATTACAACTACCTATCTGGAATTAGAATATTCTTAGACACCCCACAGATTAATCCAATATGAAAAAACTGTCACAAGTGATCAAAGTGCGGACTGCAAGCCCAAATGGAAAACTGACAACTCAGAAGAATTTTGTTAAGGCAGAATGAACCGGACCAAAGAAAACCTCCAGAACATTCGGCTCGTCTAAGTAGCTGAAGGGATAGCGGGTAAATCTGTGGGGCCCACCACCCAGAAACTCAGAAATTAGAAAAACCTTGGAAAGAGTCAATCAGTCGAGTTGGCAACTTCCGTAGCATGATGGCAAATTCTAGATAAGTCTCAACCGAGGAAAAACCCCCCAGGAATAAACTCAGGGGAACCTCCCTCCCTAGGCAAAAGCAAGCAGCGTATTCGATTGGGCAGGTGGGGTTTGAAAATAGGATTCCGCAACAGATTCTTGCCTCTGAGGTTAGGTCTTAGATTTCGCTTAGAGGGAGGGCTTGGGGGATAGGAGGTTTGACGTTTAAGCTCTAGTGATGGGGGTTCCGTTTTCGTATGAGGGTCCAGACTTTAGGGTACACGGTTTAGGCTCTAGGATTGAGGGTTTACGGTTCAAGGGTTTAGGGTTTAGGGTTCAGTGTTTAGGGTTCATGGTTTAGGGTTTAGGTTTCAGGGTTTAGGGTTCAAGGATTTAGGGGTGAGCATTTCGGGGTTCACGATTTAGCATTAGCCTCCAGGGTTTATGTTCTCGGCTCAGGGTTAAGGGTCTGGCGTTTTGGTTTTAGGGTTTAGGGTTTAGGGTTTAGTTTTATGGTTCAGGGTTTAGGTTTTTGGGTTTAGTGTCCATGCTTCAGGGTTTAGGGTTTAGAGGTTGTCCTTTTGGTTTATGTTCAGGGCTCAGTTTTCATGGTTTATTCCTCTGCCGTTTAGGATTTTGGGCTTATGGTTTAGAGTCTTTTGTTCAGTGTTTAGGATTAGAGTTCCCGTCTAGCGTTGAACTTATTTTTATAAAGTTTTATCTTCATGGTTTAGCCTTCTTTCCTCATAACCTTCAAGTATTTTCCTGCCTCGTGGCTTCTTCTTCATCTATAATCTTTATGATATATATTATCATGCATTAGGTATTTTTCCTACACTACACGTAACATCGTGAGGCTGCTACTCCTTATTCAATATTTTTGACCTGTAAGAGATATCGGCAGCTGCACATTAATGTTCTATCCATCACCAGAGCTTGTTGTTATAACATCTGTTATAGAACACAGTATGATGCTGAAATTTCACATTCTCATTTATCCATCAATATTTTCTTCGTATATCTGGATAGCGTTTTCACAGAATTGGGAATTATTTTCATTAACATAATAGATGCTCTGTCACGCTCCTCATGCTATGTGACATATAATTGAAATTATAACCAAATTGTATGGAGCACCCGCACCTCCACTTATAATATATCTGCATCTCCATAATACGGCATACATATATTTTTGTTGCATGCTCAGAAACAGACTGTCTGAATGTTGACAATTCAGATTTTACGTTGTCACTAGTGGGTAGTTTACTGCCTCACAATAAACCATCACCTATAGAGAAACTATAAAGAAATAGACAGAAGGGCTAATTATCTAAAAGTAGGCATCAGAATATTCACAGTGATAGGAAGGTACTATAATTTATCTGTAAGCTCTTATATATTAGAGAGAAGAATCATGTATGATACTACAGTACAGGTTTTTTCAAGAGTAGATTGTAGATATCTGTGCAGGAACGAGAAGAAGAAAAAATATATACTAATCGGATTATCCTTGTTGCTTCAGAATGGTTTCTCTTATAGAATCTACTTGTGAATGCTATTTCCATAAAATTTCACTCCCTTTGGATGCCTATTTAAGAGTAATGCAGATGATGAATATAATCCTTTCCTGAAACCTTCATTTACGAAAGTGGGTTAAATACCTTATCAGATTTCTCTTGATACCAGTTATGACCAGTAAGGACAGTTACTATGTAATCATCATAATAAGCATTGAGGAGGAAGCTGTGGAATGAAGGTACCGACTAGCTGGATCATTATCTCCTAGGAGGGATTATCATGGCATGCTAAACTAAAAGGAAATAAAAATGCACATAGAGATTTCTCTATATTTGCATATAAATCTAGCCATATGATTGTAAAAACTGCAAGATAAAGTTATGATAAGGAAGCATCTTAAAAAATTAATTACTTGGAATGAGAATATATAATCATTATAGTGCTATGTGGCCAGAATTATCCACTACAGTTGGATTACTCGATTATTGCAGAATATACGGATTCTTTCCATCATCTGTGAAGACATATTTACCTGGAAATCCGGTTTATTACCATTATATATTATGTTGTATATAGGTATTGTATGGATATCATCTGCAGAAGACAAGAAGCATCCATTTACAGAATTATCAAGAGATTATTTTACACCAATAGAGAAAGGAAAGAACTAATTGTTTTAAGGATACAAGTCCACATTTGTTTTATTCTTTTCCAGGAGCCTCTTTCGAAATCTGTGATATAAGTATCCTAAACCTATTTCATACCTTGTCATTTGTGCGTATTGATCCTTTATGTATAATTCTACAAACACGAGGAAAGATTTCTAAAATAAGGGGGAGGGAAACTTATAAACCTGCAGAATTCTCTGTCAGGAGATAAATAATGGTTTCGCATATTCAGTGAAGACTATAGCGATGAATTAGACAGGCGCAAGAGTCATTTGGCATATGCTTCTGACACTGAATTAAACACTCTCCTATATTGGTAACAAATGAAAGGGAAGGAGAATTTTCAGTAAAACCCTATAAATACTGTTTCATTATGCCATTATAACACACCTAGAGGCCTTATTTACAAAAAAGGCTTCTGTATAGATAAGTATGAATTAAATGATTAATATATACTGAACGTTGATGATATCACAGGATACGTATTAGACGCCTATGAACATATTTTATTCCAACTCCTTAACCCAGTTATGAGTACACGTGGCTACATCTCTTATAGTGAATGTCTGTATATATGTCTATGTTCTCAATGTTATACACAAATCTTATGAGACATAAGGAGAAGACTGATTCTGTCTATGCAATTTCTTTTAGAGAAGTATGAGCATCTTGATGTAAGTATAAGAGTGGCAGGGTTAATATGCATACAATACGGAAGTGATCCTGAGTTCCATGTTAGAGACAATATACCAATTAAACATAATGCATTAGAAAACTTTATCGACTAAAGTGTGGAATTCCCATAGCAATACAAAGATATATTTAATTGTAACAAGTGTACTGTTTGGAAAAAGTTATTCCTAATGTGCTATGATCATATTTCACGTAGACATTCTATAGGTATGCATCTGATTTAGCGAAAGCGCCGTATAACTATTAATGAGAACACTTATAGGCGTCAATGTTGACAATTTGTAAGTATAATATCTAAGAATGCCGCCCTAGATTTTTGTGTACATTAGTGTTATTATTGTTACACTTATAATAGGGTCTTAGTTTCTGTTATCTATCCCCCATTGCGAAACATGAATAATATGTTCTGCATATATTTGAGGGTTAATCCAAGAATTATGTCCTAAGAATGAAAACATAAAGAGTCTGTATAAGTTCCTTTTGAGAGAAATATATGCTAGGAATGTGAAGGGATTTCACATGATTTGGGTATTCTATTTCATCTGACCCTATAAACAGTATATTCGAATATGCCTTATGTAAATTCAGAGAGAGCACAAAAAAAAGAATGAAAAACACATGCGATTAGAGCTTCTGAATTATAGTATAATGGTGTTCTGTCCAGAATACAGGGAGATGGTTGCCGAGATATAATGACACTTACTTAGTTTAATTAGATGCAGTTATTCAATCGATTACAGCTCACTCACTGTATTGTGATTAGGATGAATTACAATATCATATTCTCCCCTGAAGAGTGCAAGACGAAGGACATGTAATTTGGCAAGTACCAACATCCTCACCTAATTGTGATAAAACGAGACCCTTTTAGAGGTTGCGTTAAACCTCCGTTGAACCGCGAATGAGGAAAATATAGAGAAGTAAGATAAATGAGGATGAAGTCAATCGCTTCCTGCACTGACTCATACATCTAAATATTAATAACAAATAATAGATCACATAGGAAGATCTTTAATGGGAAAACAGTATTTATAGCACGAAGTAGTAATTTATGATTATTTAGTAATTATGTACGATAAGAAGATATAAATGAAAGGTAAGCCGACTCCTTAATTATGTTGCGAATACATGATCTGTCTCGGAATCATATTTACGAGCATCAACGGAATGAGCGTTACATGTATTCTAAGTATTCATTAAGAGAATGTATTTAACCCTTTCCCATTTCATGTTTGTTTTCTTAAATTATAATAGGTTGAAACTATGTATATACAAAGAAGGAGTGTAGCAGTTTGCAAAGGTATTAGTGAACGTGCAGGAAGCAGAGTCTTCCTGGAAAAGTCGTGGGAATAGTATGAATAGCGATAAGTATATGGAGGGGTGAAATAAAGGAACTCTACACAGCAATGTAACCTCAGTGTCTTCCGTGTAATGTATTTAGGAATGCTAACATAAGCGTACTGTGTGACCAAGAAAGTAACCTATGGTCTGCTCATGGGAGATAAAGATTTCCTTTTAAGCGTGTGGCACTGTATATGCAGAGGGGTAACCTCTGATTGAAATAGCTTTTGGAAGATTTATCATTATCACCTATGATAGATTCCAATCTAAACTGTTATTGAGAATGCGGAGGGATTAGGTAACTTCTTTATATAAGTTTCCCTGAAATTGTAATATCCCCACTTGTACATCAATAATGAAGCCTATTTTGCATGAGATCAAGGTAAGATTTCAGGTATCGGCGGATTTCTCCTAATGATTCCTGTGTGAATCGACGTTCGATTCAAATTTTCTATACTTTCATAGACTATGGAATGAACAGTTAGCCCCTTTGCATTGATTTTGTCAGCAGAAGATCTATATTTTGAGGAATTCTTCAGAGACATGGAATCTTTCTCATTTCATGTATCCAATCCATGGTAATATTTAGATGAAGCTACGTAAGCATCAAAATGATTATTGTCTGATACAACGTTCCTCCGTTTTCCGAGAAGTCTATCTAGTGTTTCTTCCTTAATTCGTTCTGCAAAGGTTGTATAATATTTGTCCAGTGTTGTCATTACCTTTACGTTTAGAATGACATATTTGTGTTTACAATAAGTTAAACGACTGAGCGCTTTGAAGAATATTATGGTAACTGTAAACAGCATGTTATTTATAATCATGTCCGATTTATATACATTTGCGGGGATATATGAATGACGTTGAAAAAGCACATTTAACTCTATGAGTGAATGTATTTATTATATAGACCCACTGTAGTTATGCTGCAGAATGAACCTACAAAATGTAGTAAAAAGAAAAGGTTGTTAATAATACTCCTTATGACTAACTTCGTACTAGTATTCCTCAATAGACGCGGAATAATTAGTTCCGTCATTTGTATGAAATATAAAATGGCTTCACCTGTGTGTCCCCGGCAGTTTTCCCAGAAGCTGCATCGGAGGAATTATTGGGGTTTTCTCCTTTCTTGTTATTTTTTCTATTTTCTGATAATTTCTCCTCTTGTTCTTCCTGCTAGTTTCTTCCTTTTTCTATTGTTAATGATCTTATTTTTTATTTTTTCTTTTTTTGTTCTTCTCTTTTTCCGATTTGTTTCTTATTTTTCTCTTTTTTTCTTTTTTTTTAATTTTTTTTTTGTATTTTTCGCTTCTTTTTTCCTAATTTATTCTTTATTTTCCATCTTTTTGTTTTGTATTGTTCCCTTCTTGTAATTTACTTCTTCTCCTCTTCTTATTTTTTTCATTCTGTTTTTTATTTTTTGCTTTTCTTCTTTATTTATCTCCCTGTATATTTTTTTTTCTTCAGACGACTATGAATTCAATTATTACCAGTAGACAGTGATGGATATTTTTTATTACGTGGCTCCGGCGTAATTAGTGCAACTCATACATTAAACAATAGAGCGTAAGACATGTTATGCCTTATGGTAGGAGAACTATGGTATTGTTCGTACATTATAAATTAATTCTTCTTTCCCTTTAGTATAGATCTCCCTTAGAATTGTTGTTACTGATAAAATGACTTATAAGTGCAATATCCCTCTGCTTCTGTTACTTTCACATATGAAGAGAAGTTTATAAATACAGGGGGACGCAATGTGAAATTGTTTAATGCACACTGTGCGTTTAGTGCCCACGTTTTGGGCAATTTAATTCTGTATAATGGTCTTATAAGGGACTTTCTAAATAATTTTTATCAATTATCGAATAAACTAATTAGTTTATTCTATGTAATTCAAGGTCCATTATTTTTTTCCTTTCTCGTAAATATGGTTATTTCAGCAAAAAAGAAAGTGAATTAGGGGGCCCAGATTTATGAGCTGAATAATTAGTAATTATTATCATAAATATTTAAATGAATTACATATTTCATTTATTCAGGTGTGTAATTGCACGAAATAACACCGTATACTCTAATAATGCGCTGCTCTGTTCGAATAATATGAATGAAAAATATAGATCAAGTGTAATTTCAACAGTGCCACAAGAGAAACAATTATATTTCACCTGGAAAAATAATAGTTGGAAAGGATTTCATAGTAGTTTTTTCATATAAATAGAATGAATTGCGAAAAAGAGATTTTTTTTACAGTGATTTTCATTAAAAATTATTTGTTGCTTTTACATTTTATTTTGCGCGTAGTGCATTTTTTCTTTGACGCAGTCAGTAGTAAATTAAGAATTGTGTTCTTAAATAAATGTAGGTTTTTTTTTTCTTCCATTGAAATTATATATTTTGCTAAATACGGTGGACATATATTTCCTAATAATGCCATATTGGGAACTAAGTGTATATTTTCAGTCGGCGGTGAATTATTCGCGTCGTGTGCGCAAGGTAGTACATTTTTGCCTAGAATCTATGATTCACGCAACTTTTACGTCATTATTATAAGATGTAATTCACCAAATAATATATGAGGTGTACACAGCTCAATATGTTCCTTGATGAGTTTTTTATTAGGAGTATTTATACGGTCATATGGTGTGTTGTAATGCATGACATTATATTAGGGAGTTCATCGTAATCTATGAAACCTAAGAATAGCTTAGGGGATATAGCGTTAATTATGAATATCCTACGGCTGCGTGAACATATTATCACCGACCAAAATAATGCAACGGTGAGATAATATTATCTAAATAATTGAACCCAATTTTGTATGCATCACCGTTATTAGAATTAGTGTTCTATTCCTAGCAGCTGCATTGGATAGCCACCTTTATATGAGAGTTGTTATTTAATACTATATAGTACATAATTGGATATATAATTGAGAGTCATATGCTGAACATCCTGTATAGCCACCTCTCATCCTCTTTTATGAACTAAAGGAAAGAAATAATTAACACAAATAAGGAAGAATATCCTCAAGGATATTTCTCAATTTCTGTAGTTTATAGCTACGTATTATTTAAATTTTGAATTATTTGATTTATTATAACTGTTTTTTGAAGTACTTTTTTTTCTGTTTTCCTTTGTAGCGGTCCTAAGCATATATTATCACATTTGTGGTGCACTACCAGCAGCACTTATCACGTAATGGACGACCTAGCTATTTAGGAAACATATCGATTTTTATAATTGTATGCATACATAGCGTTGCCTATGTGTATGGAAAGAATTTTTCATGTAATATTTATTATTATCATGCCACTCTTTCCCTATGGTAATTATGGTTTCTGTGATGCCTCTGCATTACGTAATTTATATTTTAAGAGTCTCTTTTGGATAGGAAAGTAATGAAACATTGCAATTTTATAATGCGTTCCCCAGGTCCTCACATTTATTTGACACCTATAGAATTTGTGGACATCTATGAAAAGACACATGAATAATGATATTGAGGTATTCTCACGATGATATGGTGAAGACAATATCACTACTGACGAAAGAAAATAAGGATAAATGAACTTAATTACTAAAAAGACGAAATTCAGCGGAGCTAAAATATTTCCTACAAAAATTCTTTCGGAGGTATTACCGAAGGAAGGAACATTGTAGAACGTTTCTTTCTATGCATACGTTACAAATGTCTGGAGCGCTGTACATTATATATGCAGGATCAGATATAACTTATTGCCGGTACAATTTCACCTTACGTAGAAATATATTACGCTGGACCTTTATGAATTGGAAGATAACTAAAGTAACGAAACAATATAATGCTTAAAACATCGCGTTATATGTTGAAGGAGTCTTATTTTTTTCTTCTTCTAAGGATATCTGCCAGAAGTTGACTTAGAAGTGTAAGTATTTTTTTCTATTATCTCTTTTACAATGAAGGCACAGATGTCACTATATTTCCAATAAAGATAACATAAAGACCTGAAATAGAAAATTCTTGTAGATGCGATAAATACTAAAGTATGTTCTTTTTCTTATGTAGTAGGCAATTTTAGAATGGACTGTTCAGAATTCCCTTTTTTTTTTTGTTTTCGGCAGTCCTATTACTTATATGCTAAGATTACTTTTGAGTATTAATCTATTTATGGAAGAATATAAATTTACTTACGGAAAAATGTAAAAACAATACATTTTTTGCGAGATAATTAATTATTGAACATGGCAATTTTTTTCTCATCTGATTTTCCTTAAAACGGATAGCAAATATGTTCCTATTATAAATTTAATCTTTTCGAGTAAAAATAACGTCGGAATATTTCATATTCAATTACAGAGACGCTTCAAAAAATGAACAGAATAGGAACATTTTCACTTTTTACGTACTTCAGGAAAAAATGGGCTGAAGTGATTACCTAAATTTAGTTTGTGATGGATTTGAATGTAATTGAAAATTACCTGAAGAATGATTCTTCGCGATATATGAAACCTGTTTTATATGGAATGTTATTCATTCTCCATCGCGTGACATTTTTAGCAGAATATAAAACCGATGCTATTTACTGTTCTTTTTTCATATTGTTGTGGAATTGTGAGAGACATTTAGAGAAAAATTCCGTCCACAGAGTTATGTGTAATATTGACTTCTGAGAGAAGGAAATAATTCTTAGAAGAATTAAAAGGTCATGGAACTTTTTGATTTCCATATCATTTCAAGAAAGTTACAAACTGCGGTTATATGATTTCTTGGGGGAAAAATATGACTTATGTACAGAATTACGAAGCGGAAAGTGGATATTTTACGTACGAATCTTAGGATGCCTCGTACGGTGAATTTCAGGACCAAAGAATAAAATTAATTATCTCTATTTTAAGAAGAAAAGGATCCGCGCCTTAGGAGTTTCTTCGAATTTGGAAAGATTTTATCGCGAGACATACTATTATTTTATACACGGAATCCTTTATTCTTCTAAGTCGAAGCGTGGATTTATGAGTTCCCAGTATTTTTCCTTCCATAATATTGGACATATTATAAAT